TGCTTAATGGCTTAAGCACTTAAGCCCAAACTCCAGATCCATCGACCAAATGTGCCATAAGACTATAAAGTCTCGAACTTTATCACTTTGGACGTCCAGAAAGTTCTTAACACATGGTCTTAATCCATTAAGTCCTTCCTAATTCATGCATGAGACAAATCTAGCTATTGGGACATCATTTTTATCATTTAGGACCTCTTCTAAGGTCTGAAAGGATAGCTCATTTCGTCCAAATCATAACATGCACGATTTTGGGACTTTTGGGACGAGAATGCTTCCATAAAGCTAAAATGACTAGATCTATCTCACACAAGCTTTTTACCTTCTGGAGCTTCTAGGGCACAAACCAACTTTAGATCTACAAGCTTGATCTTCTTCTCCAACTCCTTGATGCAACACCTTCTTCTTAAAACACTCAAGAACACTCAAAAAGCTCAAACACTCAAGGAAATGCATAGGGTTTGGGGAAAACGACTCTAAGCAGTGGAGGCTGGGGTAAGGGAGGGTCTTGTGCTCATAATGTTGCTTATATAGTCCCCAAACCCTAAATATTAGGGTTTCCTTATGCCATGAGTACGCCCAGCGTACTAGGGCGTGCCTAGTACGCTCAACCTACCCGTATGTCCGCGCAGCGTACTCATCCTGATCCCAATAATTGCAATTTAGCCCTTAGACTTTCATGGCTTCACCCTTAAATGACAAATCTTAGGATGTTACATTATATGCGAGAATGAAAATTCCAGAGAAAGAAACCGAAAATGCAATCGTAAAAGTGAAAAATGCGATCGCATAATTTCTGATTTTTTCCAGATTTACCCCTGAATGATGCAGGATGTTTTCAATGTTTTCGGGACTTCGGGACAAAAATGCAATCGCAGAAGTGAAAATTTTGATCACATATTTTGGTTTTTTTCTTCATATGACTTCAAGATGACTTATTTCGACCCTGGGAAACTTCGTGGCAAAAATGCGATCACTTATGCGATCACATTTTTGGCTAATGTGATCGCATTTTTGGCCTTTTTTAGAAACTTGAAATTCGTCCGAAATTTTGTCTAGTTTTCAGAACATTTTGAATCTCGTCAATCGGAGTTATGAGTCATGAGATATGGTCAAAATACTGATAGGGGGTCAAAGTTGCCAACAACATACTTTAGGCTTCAGATTGTAGTAATCTATCTTCATATGATTACATCGATTGAATGTTTCTTGACCAAAACATCACCCAAGCATTACTCAACATCATCCTTCAGTTACAACTCCATTTAGGCTTCAAATATGCATCCAGCTGCTCCCAAAGTAATGCTTCACTCGAAATATCTGAAATTGACACAAAAAATGCTAGCAGTACGGGAATTCTAATAAAAGACATGAGCTGAACATTATTTGAACAAATGACATGCAAAAGTAAAAAAAATGATGCTAAATTATAATAAAAACTACCCTAAAAATGTATAAAATGGCATCTATCAATATCTGATTCGTAATCTTAGTGATTAGGATTATACCTTTACATAGATTAGTATACATCCCCAAAATAGTGGGATCTCCGTTTCTCTAATCGTATAAATTGTACTATTAGGGTTAAACTCTAATAGAGCTCGGTGCCTCGCTTTATGCGACTATTCTCTTTATGGGAACCTTTTCTTAGTGAAAGTATCTTTGTGATCATTCTTGTTCTCCTGTTTCTGTTTAATCTTTGTTCGGTTTTTATGTTCTTTGTTATTCATACTTGAGTGTATACGATCAATACAAACCTTCAGATCCTAGCATTTAATATTAATTTGGGTTAAAATATTTAAGTACAATCAACTAACCAAAATCTTAGCTCTTATTTTAGATGTCTGGAAATGGTGATCTTCCTCCTCCTCCTCCACCCACTCAAAACTTCCATTTCTTGTCGATCCTTTCAAAGGACAAGCTTACTAGTCCAAACTACATGGACCGGATGTGAAATTTGTAGATGACATTGAGATTCGAGAACAAATAGTATGTTCTCAGGAATCCAATCTCAGAAATAGACAATGAAACTGCTACTCCTAAGGAACTCACTGATTATAATCAGTATGTTGATGATGCCACCAACGTCGTTTGCATGATGATTGCAACCAGGGAACTTGAACTTCAAAAGTCCTATGAGGACTACTAGCCTTAGGAAATGAACCAGACTCTTGCTCATATGTTCCACAAGAAAGCAATACAAGAGCGTTGTGAAGTCGTGAAGGCCCTCATGGCATGCAAGTTGAAAGAAGGGGAATATGTGTGTGCTCATCTGCAGAAGGAAGCAATGACAGGCCCTGAAACGGCTAAATGGAAAGAGGAAATGGATAGCAAGATCCAGTACATGTATGATAACCAAGTATGGACTTTGGTTGATTAAAGACATGGTCGAAAGACGATAGGGTGCAAACAGATCTTCGAGAAGAAGATCGATATGGATGGTAATGTGCAGACCTTCAAGGAAAGGTTGGTTGAAAAAGTCTTTACTCAAACCCAACGGATTGACTATGATGAGACCTTTTCTCTAGTTGCCAAGATTAAGTCAATTAGGGTAATGCTTCCCATAGCTTCTTATCATGATTATGAAGTATGGCAAATGGATGTTAAAACTGTTTTCCTTAACGGAAAACTAACTGAGGATGTGTATATAGCTCAGCCACAAGGTTTTGAATATGACAAATTCCCTAATAAGGTGTGCAAGCTTGAGAAGTCCATCTATGGACTGAAACAAGCATCTCATAGATGGAATCTTTGCTTCCATGAAGAGGTCCAAGGAGTTTGTATTTTCTAGAAGTGAGGATGAGTCTTGCGTGTGTGTCAAAGCTAGTGGGAGTGTAGTGACCTTCTTAGTCTTGTATGTGGGTGACATACTCTTTATAGGAAATGACATTCCAACCTTGCAAGAAGTGAAGTATTGGATTGGAAAGTGCTTCATTATGAAGGATCTTGGAGAGGCCACGTACATACTTGGAATAAGGATTTATAGAGATAAGCAGATACGTTTGTTTGGGCTTAGCCAAAGTACATATTGGGATAAAATATTGAAATGGTTCAATATGGAGAATTCCAAGAAAGGGGATTTACCCATGTATCATACTGTTAAATTGAATAAGAATCAATGTCCCAGTAGTGATAAGGAAATAGATATGATGAGTCGAGTCCTATATGCTTCAGCTATAGGATCGATCATGTACACTATGACATGTACTCGACCTGTTGTAGCTTTTGTTTTGAGCATGGTTAGCAGATATCAGGGAATTCCTGACATGGCTCATTGGATAGCAGTGAAGAATATACTTTACAAACTTAAACTATTTTGAGGGTTGTTTTTGAAGATTAAGTGACGTTGGTGATGTTTTTAAATAAATAACTATTCCTCTAATGTATTCTATTAAAAAGCGTTTTAAATAAAAAGAAAAAATTGAGGTGAAAAATCACGACGATATAGAAGTTAGGCTAAGCCTATGGCTTTTAATGATTATTTGAATCACCTATGTGAGAGATAAGTGGGTTGCTTCGAAGGGAATTGTTGGGGGCGCAATTCCTAAAAGCTCTTGCAAAACCAAATTAGTGTTTCATGACTATAACGAACACGATTATGAGGATATGACCTTGTCAGGAAGAGTCTTGTGTGAGTTATATTGTCGTCTACATAAATCGCAGCTCAGTTAAAAGACATCGTGATTACTAACAGCTAGGTGGCTAAGTATAGTTCTCAAGGGAGGGTTCAAAGGATAACTCCTACTTATCCTATGCATGATTCAATTGTTGGAAATTTTGTATGGAAATTTTATGTGTAGAGATCGATCTTCATTCATGTGGGGGATTGTTGGAAATTTAATAAAAAATATGTATTTTTATTAAACTTTGGACACATATAAATATAAATATATATTATATATTTTATTAACCTTTAGTGGGTTATGTTCTCCTCTGTGAAAGCTTCGAAACAATATATGTTGTGTCCAAAACGGATAATATGCGAATGGGATATTGATGCTCAAAGATGATAATTTGAAAATAAAGTTAGCAAATAAAGTGGGTGCGTGAATCTGTCCTACATAGGAAAAATGAGCAAACTCTTAGTGGGTTTATAAACATAAATATGTGATGGGTTTACAAGCTTCTATGTATGATTTTACTCCAACACTTATGCGCACGTAGGGGGTGCAAATCATGGATTTTGTGGACAAAATTTAACGAACACATGTAGGGGCACGACCTGTGGACACGAATGCTGCTCCGAAATTCCGAGCTCGTGCAATCCACATTTATTAGAACTTTACAGTTTTGGTCCTTGAAATAATTTTCTATAAGTGATGCATTTAATGTGAGTTAATGGATAATTAATTCATTCAATTTTGAATTAATTATTACAATTACAAATATTAATATATTAAGAGACATTTGTTTCTCATTCTATCGAATACTCTCTTCTTCTTCTCTCTGCATACAATTTCCGACGATCTTTTCACGCAAGTGGTTTGATCCGGCAGTACATATTGCTTCGATTGTTGTACCCTGGGAATAGACGGTGAATCTATTTAAAGGAATTGTGTCAAAAATGAGCCTCAATCAATCAGCATGATTTTTTACTAATTATTTATTTTGAAGATTTATTAACGACGTCCAACAATTCATACTTTGGTGATTAACTTGTTATTAATCTATTGTCTATTTGGACGTTTAATATATCAAAACAAAAAGAACACAAATATATAACTATTTATTTATTTTGAGAATGTACAAGGTTCGCAATTTGTGTTAAAAATGGGAAGAAGAAACCAATATTTGGAAATATTTGGAAAAATGGGTAAATTCTACTTCTTCCAACGAAAATAACCTACATATAGTCTCTAATCTAGAAAATCCGGTATTCCATATGAATAATGGAGTGATTAACCCTCAACTAATGAATTAGAATTTCCATTTATTGATCAGGTTTGTGACAACTAGTTGCTTCAATTCGTAAACAAATGTTACATCTCAATAACTCATTTCTTTAACTTTAGAACCTTTTTATATGTATAAAAACAACACACTGACAAGAAAAATACAAAACACATACAATCAAGACTTTACCCATATCAAATCTAAATCATTTAAGAAAAAAAAAATACTATTTAACATTCTGGAGTTTGGGTGTGGTCCCTTTTCGGATCACTACAATAATCATACACTTTGTAGTTCCTTTGAACCCACTGCATTGCGGCCACTTGCTGGTGGCTGAGCCCTCCGGTGGTGGCTGGAGAACCAGAAGGAGGCTGGCAAGATTGCTGTGAATCTGCGGCACAACCTTTGAGCTTGAAGTTGGTATACCTACCAACAAAAGGTTGGTACCCGTAATTTACTTTGTATCTACCGTTCTCAGTGGCCCATGAAGATGCATCCCATATGGATCCGTACACGTACATAGGTCTTAATGGAAATGTTGTGTCGCTTTTCCTCGCGTATCTTCTAATTGGCACATCATCTACTAAAAATCTGCATAATTTCATTTAGAAAGATCATGACATTTAAGCTTTTGTTTTTGTCTCTATTACACTAGAGTTAGCTTGTTATGGTCAATAATAC